TATGTGGGACGCGGCCTCAGCATGGCCGGAGAAGCGGTGCGTCGGTGCGCGCCCGGGGTTCCGAACCCGGGCCGCCAGTAGCAGAGCGTGGGCACTTAACCGCTAAGCCACAGGGCCGGCCCTAAAGTGTACATTTTAAAATAGAGGGCCAAGAATAGCCAAGATATCCCTGAAAATGAAGAGCAAGGTGGGAGATTTTCCTTACCAGATACCAAGGATTATTATAAAAATATAACAATTTAGATGGCATTGTTTTGGCATAGAAATATATCAGTCAATCAATAGAACATAAAAGACAGCTCAGAAACAGACCCTCCACCGCATTGCAGAGTGGTGGAGAAAGGATGGAATTTTTTTGTGTGTGAGGAAGATCAGCCCTGAGCTAACATCCATGCCAATCCTCCTCTTTTTGCTGAGGAAGATTGGCCCTGGGTTCACATCCACGCCCATCCTCCTCCACTTTATATGGGACACCACCACAGCATGGCTTGACTAGCGGTGCGTTGGTGTGTGCCTGGATCCAAACCTGCAAACCCGGTGCCCCCGCAGCAGAGTTCAAGCTCTTAACCGCTGTGCCACCGGGCCGGCCCAGGATGGAATTTTTAATACATTTTTCTGGAACAATTGTTTATCTATGCGGAAAACAGATTTGACTCCATCACACTATATACAAATACATGGTATTATTCCAACTATATAAAACTCACGGGCCGGCCCTGTGGCTTGGTGGTTAAGTGCGCGCGCTGCGATGCTGGTGGCCCGGGTTCGGATCCCGGGTGCGCACCGAGGCACCACTTCTCCGTTCATCCTGAGGCCGAGTCCTGCATACAGCAACTAGAAGGATGTGCAGCTACGACATACAACTATCCACTGGGGCTTTGGGGGGACAAAATAAAATAAATAAAATCTTTAAAAAAATAAATAAATAAAATAAAAAATAAAAATAAAACTCACAACAAAGCAAAACCATATATTGTTTACAGGTGAAAATATATGTAGTAAAAATTATTAAGGAAAGAAGAAATGAGAAAACACAATGATCAGACAGTGGTTCCACTAAGAGGGAAGGAGATGGGATGGGGAAGACAGCCCAGGGGGTTGAGGGGTAACGATAATGTTCATTTCTTAGACTCAATGGGTCTTGTGTCATTATTCTTCATCTTAGATGTGTTCTATAAATCATTTTGTATACTCTCAATATGTAATTAAAACATGTAAGAGAAAAAGATGAAGAAGAAAGGGCCACAGTATGTGTGATAAGATAAGCACTAGTGAACTGGCCAGGGGATGTGGGTGCCCAGTCGTGGTCCCAGCTCCTTCTTAACTTACAGTTTGCCCTGAGTAGAGGCACTTGGTTCTCTGTAACTTAGTCTTCACTTGTTGAATGGGGTTAATAACACGTACTACACGTAAATCTTCTGAGGATCACAAAGACAACAGATGTGAAAGTGCCTTGTGAAAATGAAAGTGCTATATAAATGGAAAGTGGCATTGTTCCTGACAACTGCACATTTGCTTGGCAAAGAACAAACAGCTACACCTGTGACTCAGCCCTAAACTCATCTTACTGGGGCCACCCCAGCTACAGAAATGGGCTGTGGTGCTGCTGTTTCAGCTTCACAGGTGTCAGGGTGACTAGGTTGGAGGATTAATGTCAATTACGCACACAGAGGGGAAAAGGAGCCTCAGCTGGGAGAATGTGGGAAGGCAGTGCAATTCCCAGTCTGGCCTGCAGGTGAATTGGACTTCCCCTATCAGCCTCAGCAAAGGGACAGGATGTGAGGCAGCCAGCTCACATCTGAACCTCTCTCTCTCCTCTAAGCCCAAACCACTGCTCCACAGCATCAGCCCAAAGGGCTCACTTCAGACTTTATGTCCGTTGGAGGCAAACGCAATAAAAACGACCAGTCTGCGCACCTCTCCACACCCAATACCACACTTTGACTGCTGCACCCACCAGATTCCATTGCAAATGCTGCTTCCTTCCACTGCTCCCCCCTAAAAAAAGCCTTAAAAATCATACCCTCAAAGTAAACAAATGATTTGCTATTTGGGGTTTTTTTTGGTGAGGAGGATTAGCCCTGAGCTAACATCTGTTGCCAATCTTCCTCTTTTTGCTGAGGAAGATTGGCCCTAAGCTAACATCCGTGCCCATCTCCCTGTATTTTATGTGGGACACCTGCCACAGCATGGCTTAATGAGCGGTGCGCAAGTCCACGCCCCTGATCGGAACCTGGGAACCGGGGGCCGTCAAACCGGAGTGCCCGAACTTAACCGCTAAGCCACCGGGCCCGCCCCGTTTTTGTTTTGTTTTTTAAATCCATGTTCCTGTTCCCCTCCACTGCTGTGGAGAAACAGAAGCTGAAAGACACACCTGTTTACTTAGCAGGTGGACTGAGAACGTTTGTTGATCCTCTTCAACATCCTGGCCTGCGCACCCACCAGAGCTCCCGGGAAGCGTTGGGTTGACTGCCTTGCCTGAGCAGCCCCTCCCAGCGGCAGCCGGTCTTCACCCACTGAAACGACTCCTCCTCCCTCTTTTGTACCAAGGTCTTCTCGCCCCTGAAGGTGGGGGAGGGGAGAGGCAGGGTTCAGATTCTATTTGTCTTTGCAAACCCCTTCCCTTCATTGACTTGCTCACGGTAGGTGTGTCTTAGATGAAGTTGAGTTCGTTTTTGGGGGGTTGATTGCTCAGAGCCAAAAGGTCCCCCTGCTGACATTCCCTGGGCATCCAAGTCCTGTCTCCCTCTTCAGAGGAAGGGCTCCCTGATGGCCAGGGCTCTGGTACCACCACCATTGGCTTCTTCCCTGGGATTCGAGAAAACCAACCCAGGCTCTCCCCACAGCTTCCTGCTCTCTGCCCACACACCGGCTCACTCCACACCCCAAACTGCCGGCCACTGCAGGCCGGGAAGGTACATTTCCCGCGGGAGTTGAATGAAGCCAAGGCTTGGACATGGCTGTGCAGGCCGGGAGCTTAGGCCCTGGGTCCCTTCCTGCTTCACGACAGTGCCAGTTCCTATGCCCTGTGGGGCAGGGGAGGCAACTAGAGAAGGAGGAACTCCAAAGGTGATGCTTCCAGCCCCCTGGGGACTGTTCAGTCATCCCCACCCCATGGAGGAAGAAGATGACTTAATTCCGCACAGTTGGGCCCTCAGGGAAGAGGGGAGGTGAGTAAGAGGGGAAAGAGGATATGATCTCCCTCTGAGGTCCCTACAGAAGAACCTGCCTGGCTCAGACTAGGCCTGGAGGGGAGAGAACTGGGACAGATGCCCCATCACCCTGAGACACAGTTTACCCCCTTGCCGCCCACCCTCCCTGTCTGAAAACATTAATGCAAACAATGGACTCAGACAATAATTCAGACAATTAGTCATCTTCCCGAATGGGGACTGAGAGCCAGTCTTGGCTCTAATGGGATAACTGGGGTGATTCATTCTGCTAAGGATGCAGGGATGGGTTGGTTCAATATTGACTGAAAGGCTTGAAGCTGTGGTGGGCCCAGCCCCAGGGACCCCCACCCGGCCCCATTCATGAGCACCCCATGATTCATGTGTTCGTGCAGCTGCCAGCTCTTCAGACCACGTCCCTCAACACAAAGGACCCTGTCCCTGAATGCAGGGACAGACTCCTAAAGCGTGCCTCCTGCCTTCAACTGGGGCCCAGGCAGCACAGTGAACCAGCCACACAGCATCCTCGGTGGTCTCAGACAGAATGCTCCCCCCCCAGGCTTTGGGCATGCCGGCTGTGCCCTCTCTGCCCACACTTTACTGTGATGAGAAAGTGGAGCAGCCTCGCCCCATGGCCCTTCCATCCTTCCCCTCCCATCACACCCAAAGTTAAAACATGTCTTCATCTTCAGGAACCCCCCTAGGACTATCTCCGCCCCACTCTGGACCCATCACAGCTTGGCTCAGGCACGATTTTCTTCTCCAAGTCCATCCCAGAACCCTCTCTACCGGGCACCACTCGAGCCTTCCCTTAAGACGACTTTGTCCGGAGGGGCCATCTTTTCTAAGGCACCTTATGAGCCAGCAGAGACCTTGTCAGGGTGAGTCCACCATTGTGTGGACCCTCTGTGAGGAGAAAAACAACTTTGTTTTCCAGAGATGCTGCCTCAGCATTTCACAGTAAGATAACCCTGCTCACATCCATCCAGAGTCTGGACGTTTAGATAAGGACTTGAGCTTAGGATTCCTGCCGTAAGTTCTTGCTTTACTTTTCCCAGAGCACCTTTTTTTTTTGGTGAGGAAGATTGGCCCTGAGCTAACATCTGTGCCCATCTTCCTCTATTTTGTATAAGGGATGCCACCACAGCATGGCTTGATGAGCAATGTGTAAATCTGGGCCCAGGATCCAAACCTGTGGACCCGGGCCGCTGAAGCAGAGCGCGCGAACTTAACCACTACACCACCGGCCCAGCCCCCAGAGCACCTTTTAAAATAACCACTTAGAGTGAAGCCCTCAAAAAGTTAGTGACCTCTGCCCCATTATTCACGTTATACATAATAGGTGCTTGCTACCCTGCTCTCTATCTCAGGCTGGCTTGTGACCTGGGACAGAGGGCTGCCCTTCCCCCGGCTCATGGCACCCCCTCGCTTCTGGCATCTGTAAGTAGTAGTAGACTCCACTTCCTTTGTGTAGATGTATTGAAACTGTGCCTTCAATCAAAACGACCCCTGTGGGTTTCACCTCCCCAAAGTGAGACTTAGGATGCTGAGGGAGCTACCTGCTGCTCCCTTGTGGGTGGCTTGTGCCTCCTCAGTCAGCAGATCATAATCTGCATATTCTTAAATCAATACACCAGCTCTAGCTTCTCAACACACTCTTCCCACGGCTCCCCACCCCGCACCACACACCCCACCCCCCCACACCCCCCCGCCCCGGCCTGGTGAGTCGCTGAGTCACTCCCAGAGGTGACTGTGAACAAACCCTGGTGCAGGGTGGTGCTAGTGCAAGAAGGAGAAAACAGAAATCACCGGGAAGCCAGGACACAGGCGTAGATTTGACCAAAAGAAAATATTTATTGTACAATTAACAACCACTGGATTTGACTCAGACAGGCCCTCGAGAGTGTGTCTCCACCTTCCCAATTTATTTTCAGCCCTTAAGGACTTCATTGTATATCATCGCCAAAGCCCCCAGGAAGGTGACATATTCCTGGAAGTTCACCACCTGGTCCTTGTTCTGGTCCAGGTCGTCCAACAGCTTTGCAACTTCCGCATCCTGCAGCTCCTAACGCGTTAGAATGGGAAATCCAGACTGAGTGGTGATGAGAACCCTGGGTCCTCTCCCTTCCCCCTCTCAGGCAGCCCTCTCTCAGACAAGTGGCCCTGTGCTCACTTGCCCACCTTGGGTTCACTTGGCTTCACTTCCCCTCTGCTCCTGCTCCTTGCTCAGGGGGAGTGAATACCAGGCTGAGAGTATCCCCCACCCCCTCAAGGGAGTGGACCAATGGGCTCAGTGAGGCATGTGGAGAAGGGCCCCAGAAGTTAGATAAATGTGAGTCAGATGCCCCTGGCACGTCCCCCTCTCCTAATCCTGCTTCTGCAGGGCCAGAGAAGGGAAGAAGGGCTTGGGGAGGCTCACTCACAGGGCCAATGGTGAGCTCCTTCTGGATCAGCTCCTTCAGCTCACTCTTGCTCAGGGTGTTCTTGTCACCATCCCTGCTGGAGTACTTGTGGAAGATGGCAACGAGGAGGCTAATGGCCTGATCCAGGGGGCACGCCATGGCTGAGGGCTGGACTCAGAGCTGGGGGCAGAGGGGCTCGTCAGGGCCCTGGGCAGCAGGGCCTTCTCACTCACCCAACCCCCAAGAGTTCTGTCCCCCACTCCCCCCACTCCCTTTGAGTACCCTGCCTGAACCACCCAGCCTCAGGCACATACAGGTGGCCTCAGGAGATAGCCCAGGGCTTGAAGGGGAGGGAGAGGACAGACTCTAGGTTCGAGATCAGCAGCCCGAGGGGGGGCCAGAGGAGATAAGGATTCTAAAGAGCAAACAGGGCCACAGCTGAGAACCCCAGGGGTTCCAGAAGAAGTTGGGGAGCATGGAGGGCGGGGAGGTGGGGGCAGCACACCCAGCCCTACACACACAGCCTCACAAGGCCACACTGCGGCGCTGACAGTCCCAGGACACACCCTCCCGCACCCCAGAAGAGCGCGGGGAGCCGCCCCACCGCATGCCTAGCCCGGGGCCAGCCCGCCGCTTCTGACCCTCCCCGCCGGCCCAGGAGCTCCACAGACGGCCGCACTCGGGATCCGGGCGCCGGTCCCGCCCGCGGAGTCCGCAACGGCCCGACTGGGGCGGACGGCGGCTAGACTAGGCCAGACTAGGCCAGACTAGGCCAGACTAGGCCGAGGACGCCGGCGCTGCGCCGGCGAGAACTCACCGCGGGGCTGCAAGGAAGCGTGAAGGGAGCGGTCCGCGGTGACGAACTCTGTAGCCGGCCCGCCCGCCTTATAGCGGCCGTGCGTCCACCCAACCCGCCCAGGGCCCGCCCCGCGCCCCACCCCGCGCCCGTGATTTACACAACACCCCCCCCGGCCCCTCTCAACTTTCCACGCCTCCTGCCCCGGGGGCTGTTCCACATTCCAGGGGGTGGGGGACCCTAGCGGAGACCACTGCAAGCCCAGTGACCTGGAGCTCCCCTTAATCTCCATAGCTCGGTTTGCCCACCATCGTGACACGTGACACGGCGTGGGGAGAAGGTAGATGGCCAGAGCGGCTGGGGAGAAGGGGGGTTATTGGGGGGGGTGGGAATGGAGAAGGGTGCCCCCAGAGGGTGTTCAGGGTCAACCCTAGATGAAGGAGGGGAGCAGCCAGTGGTCTACAGGATATGATTTAAAGGACATCTAGGACACCCATCGCCCAGCAAAAATAAATTCCTACCACCACCCCCACTCCCTTCCCCCCCTGCCTGGAATTCCACCCGGAGCCTCTTGCCCACTAATGTGCACACACACCTGAGCCAAGCCCTGTTAGCATCATTCATTATTTACCCTCTAATGAAAAGGTTTTTCAGGTCCTCTCCTGAGAAAGGATTCTGATAGGGAGAGGTGGGGAGAGCAAAAATCACTGGACCCCAGAGATGACTGGGGTGGGTTGGGGTGGGGTGGAGGAGACGGAAGGGAGACTGGCCTGTAACCAAACGCCAGACTTCCCTTCATACCAGTGGTGCATGTGACCTTCTGTAAGCCGGTGACAAGTCAGACTGGCTTGTCCACACTGCCCTCAGTGTCCTCTCTCTCAAAGCACTTTCCCCCTTAGCTTTCTCTGCATCTTTGCAACATTCCTGGGAGGCAAGCAAAAGCTTGGCCCAATCTCCCCGTTTTCCAGAATGGCAAAACTAAGCCTAGATAAGCTTAGTGATGTCCACACTGAAGGACACGAAGTGGAGTGAAAGCCCAGGACCCTAACACCCAGAGGCTCTCAACCCACTCAAGGAGAAGCTCTGCCTTGCCCCACCCTACCTCCCAGTCAAGGTGGACAAGACGTCTTCAAAACCAGCCTCCAGACACCTGGAATGGAAAATCTTTATTTCCTCTGCTGGAAGGGAAGGCTGAAGCAGGTTGCATCTGGAAGGGAGAGGAGGGCAAGGGGCCACAGAGGGTCTGTGAGAGGAGCCGCAGAGGCTGGGGCAAGGAGCTGAGCCCGGTCATTCGTTGTCCTCCAGGAAGAAGTCATTATAGGCCATCCACAGTGTGGTCAGGAACACTGAATACTCCTTGAAGTCGATTTCCTGGTCACTGTTTTTGTCCAGGCTCTTCATCAGGTCATCAATGCTGCTCTCCTTCATCTTCTTCGAGGCCCCAGGTAGAGGGACAGGTCAGCCACCCCTCCTGGCCCTGCCCCACCACCGCGTGGTGCCACCCGTCCCCTGGAAAGGCAGTCTCAGGGTGGTCCCCAGCTGAATCAGCAACACTCTGAGCATCTCGACCCCCTGAGTCTGCCCTCAGCCCACGCCCAGCGCAGAGCCTGGCACCAAGCACAGGCTCAGCGACCTGATTCTGAATGTAAATAAATTACAACAGGAAGGCTAGTCCAGCCTCCCTTCCTCTCAACACTTTGCACCATCCAAAGAAATAATAATCTAGATTTTATACAACACCTAACAGCCACGGGTTGGTGGTTATGTGGCACTAAGCATGACCCACATCTCCGAGTCCTTCTGTCCCTGTAGGGGAGAGTTGAGAACTGACCCAGACAACATGTCTCTCTAGGAGAGCAGTGTCCTGGAGCTGAGAAACCACCGTGTCCTCCCTCACTAGGAGAGCTCACAGGACAGGGGAATGGAAAGGAGTGCCTGGCACCCAGTCTTACTCGCCATCTGGTCCCCTGCCCTCCCAGCCCAGCTCCACCAGGAGGATGGGGACAGGGCCTTCGGGTGGAACAGGAAGAAAATACAGACACGTCCTGCCCTCCCCTCTTCAGGGCCCTCAGCTCCAGCTTTTCCACAGGAGACAGGACATTGGGACATACAGAGATGGAAACAGCCTCTCTGTGACGTGATCTTTGTCCCCAGTCTGGGCTCCTATTATAGCCAGGCCCTCCCCGGGGCCTCTGTTCCCCTGTAATTAACCCCTGCCAGCCCATGGCTCCTCCTTCTGCCCTCATTAACTCCAGGATGAAGAGAGCCTGGCAGGAATGCCAGAGGGCAAGCCTGGTGACACCCATGCCTGCTTCTCCCCTGCCCACAGGGGCAACTCAAGGGAGCTTCTCTGTGGGGAGGCCCACCAGAGTTCAGGATGTGACAGAAGAGGCCCCCCCATGCTGAATTTTAAAGGAAAAAGGGAAGGTGAACGCAGGCCTGGCCTGGGATTCCAGCTCAGCCTGGCAGTAGCTGGTATCTTTGGACAAGTTATATAATGTATCTAAGCCTCGATTGTTTTTTAATTGTAAAAATAATATCATGACTACTTCATAGGCCTTCCCCTCTGTCGGTCACCTCCCTCCCACCGTCTCCATCTGGTAAGAATCAATTCGGTCTCCTTCCAACCTTGTGCTCACGAACTAGCAGAACGATCCTTTTGGTTCTGTGTCAGCACCAGCTGAGAGCCCCGGATGTGCTAGGCGCACAGAGGGGAATCAGGTGGGGGCCCTGCCCTTGAGCTGTGCACAGCTTGACCTGGACCACCTGGGTGCCCTCATCCCCCACGATCCCTCCCACAGGTTCCACCATGGCTGCACAGGCCTAGCCTCAACATAGAAGCTTCCTTGATCTCCTTCTCTAAGCTCTCACCCAGCCTGTAGTCCACCCTCCAGACGCCACCCTTACTCCTTGCAGTGAAACCTGACTCACCCCCAGCACAGAGGTCTAGAGCTCTGTTGGCCCAAGATGCTCACCCTCTTCCTTCGGTCTCTGTCTGTACCTTTTGGCCAACCTGCTCCTGGCTGAGATTAGGGCACATTGAGGGCAGGTGTGTGTCACCTCACGCTGGATGTCTATGGAGGCAGAGCTGGGCCTCCCACCTCACACTAGGGAGCCCCTGTCCATGGTGTTCTACCCTCCGTGGTACCCACAGGGAGCACTTGGACTTTGGAAGGGGGGGACAGTCACCTACCTCACCAAGACACAGCTCCTTCTTGATCAGCTCCTTTAGTTCCTTCCTACTAAGTGTCAGTTTGCTGCCCTCTCTCCCAGAATATTTGTGGAAAGTGGTTACCATAGTGGTCAGGGCCTTCTCAAGAGGAGTCTCCATCACGGTATGTGGCTCTGAAGGGTGAAGTGAAAGGAAACAATCGCATGGCCCGGCAAAGACAGACCTTCTCCTCCCCCCATCACTAGCCCACCTCCAAGCCCTTCCCTCAAGGACCAGAGACTGGAACCCATAACAAGACCAAAATCCACCAACGAGTGGACTCAAATGTGTCAGCATGGGTTGGAATGAGACTCAAGGCAAACTTGGAACAGCCAGAGCAGTGAGAGTGACCAGCCCCGCAGGAGACTGCACACTCTCCTGCTTAGGAGACATTGAAAAAGGGGTCTAGGGGCAGAGGGATGATAGGATGACCTCCCCAAAAGAAGAACTGGTGGCGGATGTGGAGCAGATAAAGGGTAAGGATTTCTCCCTGCCCCATCCAGCTTGGGCATTCGTTTTCCAGAGACAGTCCTCACCATAGTCACCCTCCTTGGCCCGGGTGCCTGAATCATCTGATATTGGGAAGTGTCCCATTATAGAAGTAGGGGACAGGGCACAGGGAGAGTCCAGGGGTGGGAGGGGGCTGGGGCTAGAACTGGGAGATAGGGTCTCGACAGGAAACTGGGGAGAAGTGTTTGGACTTGTCCAGCTGGTCTTCAGTCTCCAGCCCAGAGAACTGCACATTCAGACTGGCCACAAGGCAGCAAGTAGGGTGGGCCTGTTGAAATCTCCAGGATCATTCTGAGAGCTGGATCTAGAGGTTGGGTTTGAATGGAGCCCTCCAGGCCATCAGCACAGCTGCACCCACGGAAGGGAAGAAGCAGCTGGAGCTCCTGTGACTCAGACTTGAAAACCACTTCCCCCTTAGGAAGGAAAGAGGCAACACCCAGGGGACTTGGGGGCTGCAGGTAAATCTCTGTAGAGTCTTGGGCAAGGAGGAAGAAGCTGCTGGCTCTTCCCTTCAGCCAAAAGCCCACCTCACAATTCTCGAACTGGACTTGTCATTCATCTCCCACCACCCACAAACCTCGGCTTCTCCCCATCTCCAGGAGGCTCAGCCAGGACCACAGTTGAAGGCAAGCACCTCTAGGTAGCTGCAAGAGCATCCTGGCTGGTTCTGATGCCCACCTCCACCCCCAGATCCACTTCTCAGGAAATTTTGATAGCCACAATTCCAAATACTTGCCCTCTCCTCCCTGAGTACATGCCTGTTCATCGGACTAGGCCTTCCTTGGTGGAGGTCACCACAGCTTGTCACCCTCTGGTCTCATCACCCAACTTGCCCCACCATATGGATGAGCAGGGAGATCAGAAGGACGGACTCACCAAGGAAAGAGTAAGCCGGAGAACCACGCAGCGGAAACAGGCTCCCTCCCACTGCTCTCTGTCTTTGTTCCGTTGCTCCTGTCCCCAGGAAACCAGGGCAGGGAAAGGGCCAATGAGAAGGGGCCAGGGACATGAGGAGGCCCAAGTCAGAGCCTCTTGGGACGCAGCTGGGGAGAAACCCCCTCCACCAATCTCACCTTCCTTGTTTCCAAATGCAAGGATGGGGGCACACTGAGTTCACCACGGCACACACGTCTTCGGTCCCAGAAACTTTGTCTTCCCAACCAAAAATCAGAGCTCACAGTATGAGTGAGGAGGAGAGCGCAGGCTAGAGAAGGAGACTGTAGGCTGTCCTGGAAGAAGACCCGGGAAGTGTGGGCCAAATGCAGGGTAGCTCCCCATGCCCTGGGCCGCTCTCCACACTGGAGCCCTCCCACTCACAGCAGGAGCGGAGCACACACACCTCGAGATGAGAATCAATGGGGGAAAACGTTTCCTGCCAAGGGCGTTGTCAGGGTCATTAGCTAGAATGGAGCCTAAGGTTTTTGTTTTTTCTTTTGAGGAAGATCAGCCCTGAGCTAACATAAATGCCAATCCTCCTCTTTTTGCTGAGGAAGACTGGCCCTGAGCTAACATCTATTGCCAATCCTCCTCCTTTTTTTCCTTTTTTCTCCCCAAAGCCCCAGTAGATAGTTGTATGTCATAGTTGCACATTATTCTAGTTGCCGTATGTGGGACGCTGCCTCAGCATGGCAGGACAAGCGGTGTGTTGGTGCAGAGCCGGGATCCAAACCCTGGTCGCCAGTAGCGGAGCACGTGCACTTAACCACTAAGCCACGGGGCCGACCCCGGAGCCTAAGGGTTTTAAAGGGCTTTTAAATGAGCAATTTTTTCTAAACCTCACTCATCTTCATGGGAGACAATTGTCAGAGACTCTTGAAACAGAGGAGTGAGAATTAGGGATTGGAGAGGGGATCCAGGGAAGGGTAGGGCTGGTGATGGGGTAGAGGTTGTGGATTGCAGGGAGCAGGTCCAGGGTGCAGTGATGAATGGGGTAGGGTCAGGGAGAGTTGCCTGTATCCCAGGAGAGACTCAGACTTTGTTCTACCACCAACCAGTCCACGTATGAGAACTGAAGCAAGTTAGAGGCTTAGCATCTATCACTGCTGCAACCCCGCCTTGCCTGCCTGGGTCCTCCCCCTAGCCCCCATTCCACTCCCACCAGCAGTTGGCAAGGCTAGAGAGGCAGCAGGGACTGGTCACTAAGCAACAGGAGTTTCCAAAGTAGAGAGTGATGCAGGAGGAGGCTCAGGGGAGGGCACTCCCATGGAAGATGGGCAGAGTAGGGCGCTGGGGGGCGGGGAGGCAAACTTTTTCCTGGACCAAAATTCTACCCAAGTCTCTGCAGTCACACTCTGGAGGAACATCTGAGTCACCCACCCCACTCCTCTGAAACTAGAGAAAAACACAATGTGATGAAAAGAAAAGGGGAATGCTTGAAAGTTCAGGGGGACAAAACCCTCCCTGCCTCTGGACCTGCCCTCTACTCACCTCCTTCTTAAAGGTCCCCATATCACCCAGGCATGGCCTGGAAGTCTAACCTCAATCCCACCCACTGCACGCTGGAGCCACTGGCGTTTAAGGGAAAGCAACATCATATCTGGTATTTTCTGGGGGGGAAAAAATCTGGATTTCATTTATCAGTTCATATGTCTGGAATTCTGTCTCCAAAATTATGGTCATCTCTCACGGTCTCCCTCACTCCCACTCCAGCCACTGTCCTCCTCTTCTGAGGTCCTTTGTCCTTCTTTGTAGGAGCACTATTCTGAACTGACAACAGATCTCATCCCAGGACCTTCAGGGCAGAGATGGGGGTTAGATAAGGACAATATTTTCATGCTGCTGCCAATGGCCTGGTCTTCCTGCACGCAGCCTCCCTGGACAGGAAGGATTCATCCGTCCCTGGGGTTTGAAGCCAGGGCTCTGGAAAGTGGTGACAGGACAGGGCCCGGGCTGTACATTTCATTACTGAGCCCTCCTCCCCATTCCACTCTGGCGTCACTACTCCCTCCCTATG